ATCTCATAGTTGTTTTGATTTGCATCTCTCTTAGAGCTAGGGATTTTAAACATTTCTTCATGTGCTTGTTGGCCATCTGAATGTCTTCTTTGGTGAAGTGTCAATACCACTGTTTTAAAGCAGGACTGACATGGGGTATTGGGCAGAAACTAGGATAAGAGTGAATAGACAATGAATACTGCACTGGAACAGATGAAGGAAAGTACTGTTTAAAAGGAATATATGGTTAGGCCTTAGAAAAACTTCCAGAATAGAGGTGCTTTTCAAACTGGACTTGGAAGAGAAAGGGAGGGACTTGTGCAACAATGAATGAAAATCCAACTTTTCTGTAAACTTTCATTAAAATCACAATTAAAATGACAAGAAACATTTTCCTATGTAATTTACAACCTCAGAAATCCAGTGGAGGGTCAGTTGTGAGTTGGTTCTGACTTGACCTTGAGTATGACCAAATAAGAAATGATAATGCCCTTGGATTGTAATGTTGACATAAAATATTGAGTATACTACCAACTGACAAACAACTAAACAAATCTTGTTTTAACAGTGTGGTCATTGTACTCTTTAAAAGCCAGGATAGTAAGACTTGTCTCACATGGTTTGGGCAGGTTATCAGGAGGGACATCATGCTGGGAAAAGTGGAAGGTCAGTGAAAAAGAGCCAGATGCTAAATAAGATAGATCGGCACAGTGACTGTAACAGGGGTCTTGAACTCAGCGGATATCGTAAGGAACATGTGGGATTAGGCAGGGCTTCTCTCTTGTAAATAGTAGCTATGTGTTCTTGGAGATGTCTCTAACAGCACCTACCTAACAATAGCAGCAACAGATTTTACTTTCGTTAGTCTTGACAAAACAAAAACATAAAATAGCCTTTCCTTTCTCATGAGAAATTAAATGCCCTGTAGATTAGATAGAAAGTATTTCTGGTTTTGGTGTCCTGTCAGAGTTATTCAGCTCATCTGAATAGTTAGTGTGGCTTTGTTCCAGTAAAAGTAAGTGGCCTTAGTTTGACCAACCTTGCTATACAGCACAGGTAACAAGTTTTTGCCTTGTTATTCTAGGAAAACTTAGAAATCAACAATTTTTTAAGTAGTCCTGTGCATTATAAAATTGTTCCAGGAAAATTTCAGCTTCTCTTCCCTGGTCAGTTCAGAGTCCCAGCTACCAGTGCAACTATTTTTCACATTTCTCCCTCGGCTGGGTTAGCAAGTACCAGTCCCTTCCAGGATCCCCATTTGTTTAGGGCTAGGTAAGGAAGTATTATTCTCTCTTTCTGAGATTCAGTAATCTTTACAGAATAACACACACAAACTCCAGGGAAAGGGCTGTCTTCAGTCTAGAAGGACCAAGTATACAGACACAAAGATCAAGTCTGTGAGAGGTTTTTTGTCAGCATGAGACCTTCCTGAGAGCAGAATGTTCACTGTCTCTAGCCTGGAACTCCAAGGAGTTCTCTCCTCCCATGGCATGTATTAGCCTCGCCACATGGCCAGGATAGATTTCATCATAAGCAATCATACTCCTCAGTGGTCATGTTGGTCATCTTTGTCATGTTGTTCACAAATGTGGCCCTCCATACCTTCTATCTTAACAGACCCTACTGAAGATGTCTTAAAGAAATTATAAAGAATTTAGAGCCTTTAGACAATTTTTAATTATAGATTTTTTTTTCTGGTTATGAACTTTGAAAAAAAATTTTTAAGTTGTACATATTAATTTCCTTTATTTCATGCTAACAGCAGAATCAAAAGTAAATGTAGTTGTAAATTCAACAGAAACTTTTAATATTTCCTCCTTTAAAAATGTAGCTTTAAACTAGTTGGTAAATGTCAAAACATAAAATGAAATTTAACTTTAGTTTCAAAGATAACAGTATGATGGGATTGTAAGGATATGACACCTGGTACACTTGGCTCTTCTAGCAAACGTTAGATTTGTCCTGTGTTTAATGAAAAGATAGCATATGGAATTGAGTATTTCTTGTAGTTCTTATGCTGTTTCTCTTAATTCCAAGGATCAATCACAGCAAAGGAATTGTACACAATGATGATGAATAAAAATGTCAGCTTGATTATCATGGATGCCCGAAGATGGCAAGATTACCAGAATTCTCGTATTTCAAATTCCCTTAGTGTTCCTGAAGAAGCCATCAGGCCAGGGTGAGTCATTACACAATTTATATAAAATGGAAAATTGTTAACTATAGTAAATGTTACTACTTAATACCAAACTAAATATGACAGCATTGTTTTTTGCCTTTTCCTGTTGACCTTACTATTCTTTATTCCTTAATTTGACACATTTTATCCTTCCTGAAGGGTAGTGTAAGATTCTAGTTTTGCTACTTAGTACAAAAGAATATTTAAGTATTTTTTCTTGAAGAAGAAGTAATATACTAAGTGATTGAGGAAGTACTTATTTTAAAGTCAGGCTTGTATTCAAATCTTGACTATCAATTGCCAACTATATTCCTTCTGGCTTTGATGTTTTTGTAGTGTTAATTAAGAAAATGTGTATATATACATATAAATATACACACACACTTAGTATAGTACCTGGTTGTTGTTGTTGTTAAGTGCCGTTGAGTCGTAGGCGATTCATAGTGACCCTGTGAACCTGGTTGTTGTTGTTGTTATGTGCTGTTGAGTCGCTTGCGACTCATATAGTGACCCTATGTACAGCAGCTCTAAACTCTGTTCTCTGCTGTGCCAATCGCACTGTCTCTGACACTCCCATCCCAATTACCCCAGTCACTGCATCAATCCACCTCATAGAGGACCTTCCCCTCGTGCGCTGTCCCTCCACCCTCCCAAGCATGATGTCCCTCTCCAAGGACCAGTCTCTCCTTACAACATGTCAAAAGTATGTTAGACGGAGCCTCAGAATGCTTGCCCCCAAGGAGGCGCCTGGTTTAACCCTCTCTAGGATGAATCTGTTTTCCAAGCAGTCCATGGTACCCTCAATACTCTTCTTCAGCACCACAGCTCAAAGGTATCAATTCTCCTTCTATCCTCCTTAGTCATTGTCGCATAACAAGTGATTGCAAAGACCATAGCCTGTATCAGATGCTCCTTAGTCTCCAGAGAGACACCATTGCTCTTCAGTACTTTGGAGAGGTCCCTAACAGCAAACTTTCCCATCTTAATATTTCTTTTAATTTCCTGGCTACTGGTGGCAAGAGTGGTAGTAGAAAGAATTTAACTTAAAAAAAATAAATTCTTGGGGTGGGGGTGCTGGGCAGGGAAAGAAGTGCAGCAGTGAATGAATGGAAATCCAAAATCTCTGTAAATGTTCATTAAAATTATTAAAATAAAAATTTTTAACAAAAAGGAAAAAAATTTAAAAAGAAAGAAAGAAATTCTCTTTCAGAAGACGAATTTTTACCTGTAAATGATTTAAAGATACTTACGTAGGTAAATGGTACACTCAAGTGCTCTTACATAAATCTTAGGATCCCTCTGGACCTTAGTTTATTAAGTTGTTGTTACATGCTGTCGTGTCAGAACCTACTCCTCGCCGACCTTCCATTGGGCTTTCAAGAGGCAGTCAGTCGCCTGGGAGGAGAGTGCCTGTCTTTCTCCTGTGGCACAGCTGGTGGATTCGAACTGCCTGCGTTTTGATTAACAGCACACTCATTTTTGTTTTTGTTCTTCTGGATTGGTTAGAAGGAACCTCAGTTTCGTGCTAATCCACTTTTTTTTTTGGTGTTTACTAATTGCCCTTCATTAATAGAGTCTTGAACTCTGAGTTTTCTCTGAACCTTAGTTTATAGAATTGGATAATTTAAAATCTGCGGTCCATTCTTAAACTAATTTAAACACTATATTAGGTATTAAAACGTATAGGCAGCAATATCAGCACCTAGAAGATTTTAATTTTGTTCCCATTGTCTTTTTTTAAAATACAATATAGTATACATATCTATATGTGGAACAGATTATCCGGGAGGCTGGGCTCTATGAGGAGAAATGTGGCATCAGAATTGGAGGTAGACTTATCAAGAACCTGAATTATGCAGATGACTCAACTGACTCAACCATGCTTGCTGAAAACTGAGGAGGACCTGAAGCACTTGCTGCAGAAAGTCAAGCAAGGATTGCAGCCTTCAATATGGATTGAAGTTCAACATCAAGAAAACAAAGATTCTCACCACTGGGCTGATTGACAGCATCATGATAGATGGTGAAGAGATTGACATTGTTAATAACTTTAGTTTGCTTGCCTCTACAGTCAATACTCTTGGTACCAGCAGCCAGGAAATTAAAAGGCGAATTGCATTGGGAAAATCTGCTGTCAGGGACATCGCCACAATACTGAAGAGCAACAGTGTCAGTCTGGAGACTAAGGTGCACCTGATCCAGGCCATGGTATTCACAGTTATATGCTAACTAATGCTTAACTCCACAATAAGGGATTTACCTTTCACTGCT